GAGGAGGAGGAGGAGGAGGAGGAGGAGTAGGAGGAGTAGGAGGAGGAGGCTTTTTTGTTGTGCTGGAGGTAGAAGGAGGAGGACCTGAGAATTTGGACTGTTCTACTCAGGCCTGGCCATAAAATGGATGCCAAGGTGCAAGTTTGCAGGAAGAGTAACTCCTTCCTCCGGAAGACCGACCTCTGCCTTGTCACCATATTAATTCCTGCGGTGGCACTGGCTGGACCCCTGTTACCTCAGGGAACGCATGGGACATGGCCCTTCACAGAAATATCTGGAGCCCTTCTTGATGTGGTTTCAAATAAACTAAGTATCCCCCTGGGGAAGGGATTCTTAGAACAGGCACATTTTCAGGAAATCTTAAGTTTTCTTGAGGAGATATGCTTCCCAGCGTGGAAACTGTTATGAGAAAAGCACTTGCAAACCCAACTGTGCCACAAATAAATAACAGAGCCACTGTGGAGGGGGGGGCAAAGCCGACTGAAGAGATGGGGCAGCAGAATCTCGGCTCTACCCTGTGGCGCTAACATAGAGAACGCTGTGCCAACACTGCACGCAGCTGCCAGGCTGGTTTCTCTCTGAGGATGGGCCCACAGTTCCTGCACCATCTCGAGTGTATTTCAGGATTGAATCAATCTGTAACTATGTCATAGAGAAATTCTTGCCATGAGGGAGAGAAATTCTAAGGGAGGCACGGGGAAGACTGAACCCCGGGGTGCTGCGTCAGAGGTGCTGCACACAGCCACTGATGGGTGCTGTGGTGAGCAAGTCCCTCAGCCTCCACCCCAAGGGTCTGTGTGCAAATCTGCACCAAGGACGGGGTCAGGTCTGGGACAGGCGGCCAGCTATGCGGGGTCTTGAAGAAGAGGGTCTCTGGGGCTCTGTGTGCGCAGAGAGGCCACGGCGGGGAAGACTGTAAGGCAAGCAGAGTGTGCTCCTGCCAGCAGGAGAGGGTCGGAGAAGAGTCAGCAGGCTGCAGCAGGGAAATTCAGAGAGCCAAGGTGAGGCAAGGCACCACAAAGAGAGCTATGACAAGGTGTAGAAAGAAAGATCTGATTGCAGTCAGCGCCACACCAGGACGTAGCACTCAGCACTGTGATTCCCAAGTCGGGTGTTCAGAGTCATTCTGAGTTGACAGCTGGTATCAGGGGAAGCTTTAGAAATGTGAATGTACAGGCCTGAGAGAGCTCAGGGTTGACCTTTAGTTTTGGGAGCCCAGAGGGGATTCATAGAGACAATGATGGAATGGACAAGAGCGAGTGAAGGGTCTTCAGGGTGTGTGAAAGGCCCTCGCAGGATACGGGTCTGGCGGCTGGTGAGTCCTGCCTGCTTTCTGGCAGATGCTCGAGGTATTTTAGAAGTGATTCATTACGTTGCAGAGACATTAAAGAAGATGAGGTTTGGGGAAGAGCGCGGAATGTGACACAGACTTAGAGTCACCCACGATTAGGGCCACTTGAAGATTTACCTGAAAAACAAATGTGGTACGAAGTGGAGAAAGCAAACGTGAGTCTTTCCTGTGGTTCTGCTTCAGTGGCTTGCTGATGAGACCACTGAATTCTAAGGCAGGCGCTGTTCCTAACTCAACCCTGCACCTGACTACCGTCATTTATTTCTTTTGTTTTTTTTTGTACTCGGGATCGAACTCAGGACCTTGTTCTGGTGAGGCAGGCAGCGGAACCACTGAGCTAAATCCCCGGCCCTGGCTGTTTCATTTAAAGAGCCAGCACTTTACTGTGTTTTACAGTGGCCCCGGGCAGCCCCTGCATTCACCGGGTCCGGTAGCACACGGGATAATTGCCGAGAGCAGCAGCACTCTGAGTACTGAGTTGTGTAAGAGCTGTATGTTTTATGGCCTTTTCATCTCATAAAACAAGGCCAAATTTTCCTTACAGTTGGAAAAACCTTCAGATTGAGCTCAACCCGACCTCAGGCTCCACGTTTATGGCCCCATTTATTCCGTCTGTAAGGTCTTGGGCCAGCTCTGCGTGTCTTCTCCCACAGGCTGTCAACTCTTATTTTCCTTAGGTGTTCACGTCTTTTCATGTAATTAAGCAATTATTTTCAAATGGATTAAAAATTTTAGGAGGCTTTGAAAGATGTTAGGGAAAATAGCGCTGTGCTGTATTTATGCTGTGTCTTAATCCTAGTTGTTCAAAGCATGTTTATCACAGGAACACATGGCCGATGCTAGCATTTCTGCTTTGCAGACGTATTATGGGATGCAGGTCCGTGACACTGACGGTTAAAGACAGGGCGTTCTGAACAAGAGCTTTTATCGGTTTGGTGGTTTGGTTTCTTTGTTCTTTGTTAGCACCTTTTCCTTTCTTTCATCTCTCCCACACAAATAAACCTGTGCGATATTGAAGTAATATTGAAAAAGTGATGGCTAAATTCTCAATTATTTTGGGAAGTGCCGTGGGAGAGCTGGGATGGTTGCTATGGGTTACCGGCTAGATCTGTTTTCTCTCCTGCATGCTGCATCTGGCCGCCCCATCCCACCAGCCACCTTAAAGCTGCATGAACAGAATTTAAGTAAAAGTCATATTTTTTGCAACACAGATAGAGCTTGAAGGCAAATCTATGTTTACCTCTTTCAAGGAACCTGGCCTGCGTATTCCAGGGTCTCTTGAAAGGGGTACTTGCTTCACATAAGAATCTCACCCTGAACACAGAAAGAACATAGACTTTCCGGTGCCTACTTTAACTTATTCCGTGTCAAGGTCTGGAAGAACCAGAGCTTCCCAGGTTCTCAGGCTGGGCCCCACACCCCTCTCTCGGTGTCCCAGTGATTTATCTATGTATTTATTTTGGGGTACCAGGGCTCCAACTCAGGACCTTGCGGTTGTGAGACAGGCGGTGGAACCAATGAGCTACATCCCTGGCCCTAGCTTCTCGTTTATATTTTATAGTTTTTAGTGAAGATGATGGAAGTTGGTTTGAAAGTAGGAACACACACACACGCCGGCGCACACACCTACAGAACAAAAGCATGAGGCTGAGAGCTATTTCAGGAAAGAGCTGCCGGGTACTTCTGGTCAGGAGAAGTCGGCCATGTGAGAGGAAAGGACAGGGCATCGACTGAGAAGTGGGTTAGGTCTGATGGCCGCACCACCAGCTGGTTTTAAGAGAATGGAAAGTAAAAGACATTGGCTGCAGCCGACATGAGGTCTAGATATCACACAGCTTTCTGACAAGCAAGGGCTGGGTTACGGCGGAAAAAACAAGCATCCACTGGGTGCTTCCCGGGGACTGACACCTATGTCAGGTGCTGAGGAATCCAAGCAAGAAGGGTGAAACTCGGGGCTCCAGAGGCATTAGCAGGGGGCCAGTACCCATGACGTGATTTCACGGATACTCCAACATTGTGACTAAGGAGGGGCTGAGAACAAGAGGAAGGAGAATTAAATTCCAATTAGCGAAGTGTGTTAGAGGACTGGTCTTAACTGGACCACAGTGCGTGGGTGAGAATGTTTATATCAGGCCACCGTGGGGGTCACCCTAAGTGGTGAGTGAAAATAAACCTGAAAACACACTGGAAAGTTTTCCCAGATATCTTTGCCTATCTACTCATCTCTGTGAAGGATGTTACCAGTTCCCCAGAAAAGATCACATGGATTCATCCTCACAGATGTGATGACATTTATTTATACTTTTCCACATCAAGTTTTGTTTTGTTTTTTTCGGAAAACTTATTTTTGGTGAAATATATGCCACTGTGTGAATCTAGTTCACTCATTTTGCTTTTCTGCTTATTTATGTTTCTATTGGTGGACCTTTGATTCTATTAAAAATTTTAAATCTGGGCTGGGGATTTAGCTCAGCGGTTCTGCTGCCTGCCTTGCAAGCACAAGGACCCGAGTTCGATCCCCGGTACCAAAAAAATTAAAAAAGTGTAAACCTCACAAACAATACTATAAATATCTTCCTACATGCTTCCATCTGGACATGAGCAGATTCATAAAAAACATACCTAGAAAGGGAACGACGGATCACGATGTGCATGTAACTCCCATTTCCCGGCTGCGGGCTTTTATTCTTCTTTCT